CCAGCAGTGCCACTCACCGAGCTGTTCAAGCATCTTATCACACTCATCCAAGATAAAGTGTTTAATGTGTTTGAGATTGAGGCTCTTATTTCGAGCCAGGGCTAGGATGCGGCCAGGGGTCCCCACGACGATATGCGGGCAGTTCTTCTTCAGCACCTCTTCATCCTTCTTGATAGACAGACCACCAAAAAACACGGCGACCTGCCAACCGGGGAGGAAAAAAGTCTCACAAGGAAGAAAGATTCCAGTCGTCCCAATTCCCATTATTTCACACTGACAAACCAATTCTTAGGATATTGCAGCATTGAGAGGAACATTATGAGTAACCTAATCTAAAATTATATCCGCCAAAAGCTTACAGTAAGAAAAGTGACTTGTCCAAAGCAACACAGCTAACTTGGGCAGCCAGGACTAGCATTTAGTTCTTCTGACTTAATGCAACACTCTTTCCCATGACTCTAAGGCCAGGAGATTCATTGTAAAACTGAGTGGTTAACAGTAAGAAATCATCAATGTAAAGGACCACAAACAACTCACATTTCCACAGCAAACACAGATTTTTAAAAGCCTCCACACAAACTATGAAATTACTGAGGCTAGATGTACTACTACCGAGGCTAGGACTACTACTACTACTTCCTGTTAAATTCACTAGGGGAGCGGTTACTGAAGCACTGGGCCTTACTACAGGATCAACACCAGAAACTTCTAGTTTCCTGGTAGGAAAATATCAATGGATGGGACCGTCATGACCCTTATTCTGTCTATGATAAAATCTATGTATGATAAATTTACAATTACCAAGCGTGAAACAACCAGATTTGGAGCAAAACAAGAGTAAACATTATCATCTATGACGAATTCCAACCAAAAATGTTTAACTTGAGTTAGGTTACTAGCTTTCAAATGTAAATTTTAGTTTATAAGGAATCCAGGGAGACATGAAAAAGCTGAACACCATAGGAAACCAAACAAATGTAGAGACAGAATACTCTGTAGAACTAGCTCAGCCTCTTGAACAAATCACTGTAGCTTAATTTTGCGCAAAATTTTAAAAAGCATGTCATGAAAATGTGCATTTGATCCTGACACAAGAACATTCTTTTACTGAGTGGCACAAGGGTGATGAGTTAGACCATGGAGGAAGCGCACTCTTAGCTCATTACTGAGCTTTGTAAGAAATGTTTCCATAATCCAACAATGGAAACTGTTTCCTAGTTTTCCAATTTTATAATCAACCCACAGACAAAACTACCTGGGCAAAAACAATTGCCCACAGACTAAAAAAATTCAGAAATACATATATACACAACATAGACACACATTCAATGCATTCAAATAATTTTTAAGGAATAACAGTTACTGTAATGTTTTAGTATTGGAAGAAAAAAAACTAAATCTTTCATGAAAGCAAGTCAAAAAGTTAAATTTTTTAAAAAACTGCATAATGCCTGGTTTCGCAGAACCATAAAATTTTTAAAAAATTAAACAGTTAACAAATGATTATCTTCCATGAAATAGGGTTAGCTGGAAGAACACAAATCTTTACTGTAAGGCCTTCCATATTACCACACAAAGGTACATCATCATTTACTCTGGTTTCTAAGAAACTACTTTTAGTTTAGAGGTATGACTTAAACACCTCTACTTCCTTTAAAACACAAAGCAATGAGTAGAAAGGAAAATTATAACAATCTGAATGAAAATACCATTCTTCACCACGCCCCAACAAGGTGAGTAAGTTATATAAATCAGTGGTTCTCACATTCCCTGAAGGCCTTGTTAGAAAGCACGTCCACACTTGACAGGTCCAGAGTGGAAGCTATATATATAATCTATGTCCCCAACAGGCTCCCAAATGATGCTGACAATACTGGTCTGGAACCATTCCATGGACGTCAAGGTTACATAATGGAAAACAGCTCAAGTCAGCACTCTTTGTGGCTCCCAGACATCTTTCAATTTCCTACCATTTAAAAGAGCCCTCAACATTCACACTATACTGGAGATGTTTCTCAGCTTCCAGCATTTTCTTGGCACACACCTCAAAATTCTCAGACTGTCAACCAAAGCAGTGAAGTAATCAAAGTCACTGTAAGTTATAGCAAGAAAAAGGCGGCCATGGGCACACCCTCCACAGCCCAATCATGCTGCAGAGGCTAGTCCTACGATGTATTAAAAATCAAAATGAGTTTCTTTAAATACAGGACATAACTTACACCTCAAATTATAGAATATATCCAAATGAACCCAAGATTTTATTAAATCTCTCATACATAAAGGCTTACAAAAGCTTACTATGCGCACACGGGGGATCATGCATAGATATTTAACATCCGTGCATGAATGAAGTCTGCAGATCTACACAAGTCTTCAATGCCTCCAACTCCCCAGACCCTCACTCTCCTAGGGCTCCTTACTCCGGCTTACCTTGACATTGGGCATGTATTTAGAGAAGCGCTCATACTCCTTGCTGATTTGAAAAGCCAATTCCCGAGTGTGACACATCACCAGCACAGACACCTGCGGGGGAGACAGAAATGGTAATATACACACACTTTGGGGAAATGACTCACAAAAACACACTTGGTGGTTTATAAATAATTTCAATCCTGAAATCTCAATCATTAACCCTGTTACTATTATGAAACACTTCACACGGTCATCAATCAAGGGTAGTAGAGGTCATCTGACCAATAAGCACTCACAACTCTGATTGTTCCTTATAACTCAGAAAGAAAACACCCTTCCTAAACATTCCTAACCAAAATGTCGGGGGTCTCCCTGGTGGCGCAAGGGGTTAAGCCTCAGCACTATCAAGCTATCAGCAACAACTGCAGCATGAGTTCAATCCCCGGCCAGGGAGCTGACCCAAATGGTGCAGCAGACCTCTCCTGTCTCCCTCACTGCCCTCCTCAGCAGTGTATTTCAGTGGATCCACCTGTTCTGCCCCCACTCTGTCTCTGGTGAATCCTCTCACCCTCCCCCACACTCTGGCCTATACACCAGTTCTTGTATACACAAATAAATCTTTAAAAAAAAGTCTTTTCCACCACTCTCCCCAAGTGTACCTGTCCCGTAACTGGCTCCAGCTGTTGCAATGTGGCCAGCACAAACACGGCTGTCTTTCCCATGCCTGACTTAGCCTGGCACAGGACATCCATGCCCAGAATGGCCTGAGGGATGCACTCATGCTGAACTAGAAGGAAAAAAAAATATTAGACTTCAGTCCCAAGTAACCCCACAAGGTTTTTCACTACTCCAAAGCCATTTCTCACCACTCAATTCTTAAGTTCTTGCCAACGTCCAAGAATCACTTTTACTTTTTCCACCTATCTGTTCTATCAATCCAATTTATTCCAAAACCAGTTCTATTTCTTGCCAGTTTAAGCCACCATCAGCTCCAGCCCCTCCAAATCCTAACAAACCCTCCTGGACCTACCAAAAAGCTCACCTTTGGTGCTTCTGGCTGTCCTATATTTTCCTTAATCTGTAAGCATCCATGACATTTGAATGTCTGCCACATGCACTTCTACTTAGCTTGCCATGCTTTGGGTCATATAACCCTGCAACCCTGGACAAAATGAAAGACTTGGTACCTGACCCAGAAGCCAATCATCCCATAAAGGTTTCTAGAGACCATAGCTGGCAGAATAGTTAACAGTCCAACCAGCTCCTTGGAAACTTAAAACTAGAGCTTAAAGCGACAAAATTAAAAGCAAAGAGAGGAGGAGAAAAACCAGCCACAAGAACAAATGGCAGACCTTTAAATTAAATTGCCTTTGGGGGCCTCCCCAGTGGCGCAGCAGGTTGGGCGCAGCGTTGTGAAGCAATCTGCAGCCTTTGCAGTGCCGGTTCGATTCCCGGCCAGCCAAGGAATCTCTCCTGTCTCGACCGCTGCTCCCCTCAGCAGTGTATTTCAGTCAGTCTGCCTGGTCTGTTCCCTGCTTTCTCTAGTGAATCCTCTCACCCTCCCACGCCTCTGGCCTGTACCCCAGTTCTTGTATAAAAATAAATAAATCTTTAAAAAAAATTGCATTTGGATCACATTCACGCTATGATTAATTAAAGATCCATCTATATAAACCTCTCCTATTGCTAAATTTCTATGTGGTATTTATTTCCCGGTCTAGCTTAAAAATGACTCTGTATCAGCCATCTAAGGAACCATGAACACATCTGTTTCTTGTACCCTTAAAGAGTCCAATGAGCAGTCTATGCACAATAAAAAATTTACCTTCTGACGGATGCTCAAAGCCACAGTCTACAATGGCTCGGAGCAACTCTGGCTTGAGCAGAAAGTCACGGAAGCCAGAGCTGTGGATGGAGACATAGGAGCCCTTGACATCCTTCTTGGCAGGGGCCTCAGCCCCCTCTCCCCCAGCTGCTGTCTCCACCTCATCGTCTTCATAGTCCAAGAGCTCATTGTCCACATCGTTCTCTGCCATAACTGAGTCGGCAGGGGAAGAAGGGGAAGGGTCTCTGGGCAGGGTCACTCAGTAAGTGAAAACAAGGAAGACTGGAGGCTTGAGGAACAGTAGAGGAACAGAGACACACTAAAGTTTCTGGCAGAAGAGCTAGGAAAAAAACATGGACGACTTATCAGTCACAGGGCAGAACCTTAGGCACCTTTGTTTCCATCCCCACACTCAGCACTTTCCCTAAACTACAAAACCTTTATGTAGAAAAAATAAAGAAACAAAAGAAAAGAGCAAATACAAAATGGAGCGTGAAATGGTCATTCCCAATGGAGATAACAAAGACACATGTTCCCAAGGAAAGTAGCAGAAACCAAGAAGCCGGAAAAAATAAAAGCTTGTAAATTCCTTATCTGCAAATAGAACAACAGGGAAGATAAAGACTAGATCATGAAACACAGATTACGACAAAAAACTTAAAGAGTAAAGGATGGAGATGATGAAATGAAAAGTACTGAAAAATCCTCCAAGGAGCGCCTTGAACTTTCCCTGTACCCTCGGGGTGTCGCCCCCTAACACAGCAGCCATCAGTCCAGGGTGATAGATAAAGGTCATCATGGCGCAAAGCGCTCACTTCTCCAAATGGAAACATCATTTGGCTGCCATCCACCTCCCACAACTCTCCAGCCCCCACGCCTCAGCACCCTTTCCTCAGATGCTTAAGAAATCCCTGTGTAATTAACGGTGGGGCCGGGGAGTGGGCGAGAATGGAGAATTTAAAGAAAATGGCTCGGTCGAAAAAAAATTCACCTCTTCGTCATACAAGATGATGCATGGTTGCATTAACTTCACACAACCAAGGAAGTTAATAATTGATACACAGCTAGGTACCCTCGCGCCAGCCTTAACAGAACCTTTACCAAGCGCCACACGTCTCTGGCGTTACTCCTCGGGAGAGCCTGCTTTCCAAGAAACACACCATGCCATCGCTCACAAACATCTGGAGAACACTCCACACAGGGGTGATCGAGAGATTAGAAAAGTCGAACTAGGCCTACAAACCGGCTTCTCCTATTCCCAGAGCGGGCGAGCACCCAAAGCTTGGAAGACGAGAAAAGCCCCGCCCTCTGCAAAAGCCGAGGAGGAGAGAACGCCTAAAGCCATCTCTCACGGCCGCGGGAGCCTCCGATAAACTAGGAGGCCAACCTGGGAGTCGGAACACAATGGCGTCGGGGCCACCATCTTGGATTGGGCCCCCCAGCTTTCCTACCTCCTCCCCCCAAGAGTTCTTTGCTTTCGAAAGTGATGCAAGCAACTGAAAGAACAACCCAGCTAGGCGCCAGCGACCGAACCGTGCCCTACACAAAAGATATTAAGAACCTACGCAGCACGATTGCCGCGAGGCAACGGAGATGGAGACGGATGGTACCGCAGGCCAGAGCTTACCTGAGCAAGGCGAGCGCGTATGGCGGAGGGAACAGGGACGAAGGAGGGAATCTGCCTTCACTTCCGGTCCCCAGCTTCCCTCTACCCGGCTTCCCGCCTTCTTGACCTCCAGTGCGCAGGTGCGAGGGACCGGAAGGGGGCCTTCCACTGTTCTTTAGTTCCGCGCACTGTGGGGTTGCCCTTAGAAAATGCCTGTGTGGAATTTTTTAAGCCACTTCTAAGTGCTCTGTTACTAACAATAACAAAAAAGCATAAAGGATCCTCTCTCAATGTTATATATTTTCACTCGTCTTACGTGTCTCCAAGTCCCTCACCTCTTCCTTCAGGTTCTTGCCACGCAGGTCTTCTCTTTGGGCACTCTTCAGTGGGCGCTTGAGGAAATACATGGCGGGGGGTTGCGCGTTCCCACGGGGTCCTTGATCCGGTAGTCAAGGTGACCTGAGGGCGTCGGCGCTGCAGCTCGGAAAAGTCTGACCCAGGCGAGAGGCGATAGTCAGCTGGGCTCTGAAATCCTGAGCCCTAACCTTTCACCACCCGTGGATACGGCAAGCGGCATTTATCCGTAATAAAGTTGGCCGATGTAGGAGATACCCCAGGGACCTTGAGGCTAGTGGACAGGGGCGGCGAGTCAGCAAGATGTTTTCAAACCACTGAGTGGGAGACGGAGTGTAGATTCTATCCCAGATACTAAAGATTATCGTAGGGCTTGAGGGTTACACAACATTCCGTATTGTTAATTTGACTGGAATGTTCTTTAGCCCGCTCCAGTAGCCCGACAGTTCAGTCTGGATCTTTTCCTGATTGAATCATTTCATAGGCTAATAAAATGACACTTGTCCATTCTACAGACAAGTAAACAAATTCAGGGAAATAAAAAAAAAATGTAGTAGCCAAAGTAAAACAGCTAGGGCCTCCCCTGGTGGCGCAGCGGTTGAGCGCTGGGCTGCGAAGCTGCCCGCAGCCTCTGCAGTGGCGGTTCGATCCCCGGCCACGGGGAGAGTGTCCCACATGGTTCTCAGACCTCTCCTGCCGCCCGCTGCTCCCCTCAGCAGTGTACTTGGTCAGTCTGTCTGTCTGCTCCCCGCTCTGACTCTGGTGGATTCCCTCACCCTCCCGCGCTTCTGACTGTACCCAATGCTTGTTTAAATAAATAAATAAATCTTTAAAAAAAAAAAAAAGGTAAAACCGCTAGTAAAATGACAGAACCAAGTTGTAAACACCTTATTCTCTATTGTATCCTGCCTCCCTGTACAGTCTGGTTAATAAATAAGCTATGGATTACCTCACTAGTGTAGCAGGCTTCTTTTCTGTAGCCAAGAGAAATAACAGTGATCCAAGGATGGTGTCATAAAAGGGCAGTTTTCCCCAACTCTAAGTATCAATTGGTTCCGTATTAATTGCTTACCCCATGGTAGGATCTGGGGGCATTGCAGTGAATAGCCTAATTGTCACAGAATTCACATTATGGGGAGACAATACATAAGTATACAAAAATGTCAAGTAGTGATAAGAGCCATGAAAAAAATAATAAAGCAAAGGGCAGAATGCTGTTTCTACACCCCAGTTTTACTCTACAGTTGCCATCTATATTTCTCAGGTTCCCAAACAAGCAATCACATGTTTCTCACTTTAGAGAAATAATACTGCACCATTTACTTTTGTTTCTCCTACTAGTTCAAATGACAACCCTTTGGGTGTTTGGGGAATACCTAAAAAGGAACAAAAGAGTGACTGAAAGTGAGAAATGAGGAAGCAAAAGGAGGCCGCTTCAACACACCAATTGGTTTGCCCATGATTATTTTATTGACACTTCTTTACTGTTACAAGGGAAAAGTAAGGTGTTGAAGATGTAGAGAGGAAGGCCGTGCACACAGGGGAACAGCAGCATTTCAGATCTCAGGAAGCAGTGAGTTTCTGATGGGTCTTTGGGGAAACAGCAAAAGAGGGAAACCCAGTAAAGAGAAAGACCAAGAGATATAAAGAAATGCAACATCTTCTTGGAAACATAGTACAGAGCCTAAATGAGGCCATCATTTCATCTTGTCAGGGATCATAAGGTCTCTGGGGGAAAAAATGGAAAGTACCAAATCTATTACTAGGGTCACAGAATAAATGAGTAGAATTAGAGAGCCACGGACAGAAGTGAAGAAACATCTGTGTTTAGGTTTCGACAGGTAGAGGTAATAACAGCGTTGTACAGCTCCTACATGCCAGAAGCCATACTAAGCTCTTTACAGAATGACTCCTAAACCATTGCAGCAACCCCATAAGTTAGGCAACATTACCACCATTGTTATCAATTTATTATTATCACAGTCTTGCAGAGGAGGATACTGAAGCTACATATGACGTAGTCCCAGTTGTGCAGCCAGCAAGTGGCAGGATGGGGAGGAGGACAGAGGTAAGGATGTTTTTAACATCCCTACTTCTGCATGCAACGAATTTCACAAAGGCCATGGATGGGAGTAACGTGGGAGTATACAAGGTCTGAGCAAGATATTTATAAACTTCACAGAATTACTGGATCCTGCCTCCTAGAATTTCTGGGGAATGGGAGGAAAAGAGGATTATGGTGGGAAGTAACTTTGTTTTGTTTTGGAGATTTCTTCGAGGGAGGAAACTGTCAGAAGTCAGGTCTTATGACGAGTTCTAGGCAGCAATCCGGTAGTTGGGATGGACCTGGGGCCTGACGTCACAAACCATGCCAAGAAGCTGGGCCAGGACACGCTCACGGTTTCTCTGCTGGGAGCTCTGCATGCCCTGCACCTGGCGCCTTGTAGCCTGCTCCACCTCAGCTGACAGGTTCCCCTGGGAGCCCATGGCCTGGGAGTTGAGGAAAGGGGTAGAAGAGAGAAAGAAAAAAGGCAGAAACAGAGAAAGAAGGGTCCAGGCATGTGGAGAGAAAATCCTGGAGCAAGGACAAAAAGAAAGTCCCTCTCCAACACCCCCCCCCACACACGTAAATATACAGACAACAAAGAGCAACACCATCCCATTTCCCTGAGACCAGACATGCAAAGTCACCCTATACCAGGCGTAAAACCCCATCACCTCACTTCCTATGACCATAAAACGCTGCCTAGACTGTGTCATTGCACTCCACTAGACTACAGAGACTACCCTACAAGCTGTACAAGTCCTTCAAAACCCCAAGCTAATGCTTATCACAAAGCTTGACCAATGCCGTAGCCCCCACCTTGGTCCCCTTCTGCCATCTATCACCTTATTTTCTTGTAGAATCAGCCTGTACACACCTGACCTCATATACTCCCCAACTTGGGCCTGGGTGGGGGGTCCATCCCAACTTCCCCACCACTCACTGCCTGCTGCTTGCTCTGGAATTCCTGCTCTCGCTCTCGGCGATATTGCTCCACTTCCATCTGTGCCTCCTCCTTTGCCTGCTTCAGACGCCGGGCCTTCCCTGGAGGCAGAAGAAAGAACGGGAGTGGGTTTGGGCGCCCCCCCCCCAAAAAAAAAAAACACGTAATAGTCGGAATCAGTCATTTCCAGAAAGTGATTTGCTTCCTCTCAGCCAACCAACTGCTATATTCTGACAAATACCCATTTCTTCATTCCTAATCAGCCACCCCAGTCCCCAGCTCGCTCTCTCCACCAGCCTTAGGTTTTCCGAAAGACAAAAATGTTTGCTGTCTCCCCACCCCAAATTCCTTTCCAGATTCCTAAAGGAGAGAGGAAGAGACTCACTCTTTCTAGCATCTGCCACCTTCTCAGCCGCTCGCTTCTCAGCTTGCAGGAGCTGCTGTATACCCTGGGATTGACTAGCCATTTCTGACGCTATGGCCGATGCTTGCTATGCAACCAAGGTACCAGATGGCTTCCACCCCTACCCCCTACCGCCTACTTCTCCCCCTCCTTCTGCAGTTCGTTGCCTCGTACTCCACAACCCCTGGGTCTTAGTGCTCCCCTTTTAGCTCAGCCTCCTGCGCTGGGTGTCTCCCCCAAACTGATCCTCCCATTGATGGCTGGTCCTCCTCTCCTACTTCTCACTCTGGCAGTACCCAGAAGGGCCGCTTGGGGGTAGCAGAGACCATTCAAAGGCGACCGCTACGCTCACAGCAGGTGCAGCTCTGAGGTAGGGGCGGAGAGGCGAGGAGTATTTGGGAAAGGAGGCACCGCCGGGTTGAGCCTGAGATGAGAAGTAAGAAGTCATCATTCCTCGGCTTCTCTGAAGTCTTCCAACTCCTCTTCTCTGTTTTCTCCCTCCCCCTCTTCCATCTCCTATTTCTACATCTTCCCAAGTCCAAATTTCGGCGTCCACCTCACTTGTCTTGTCCTACGGTTTTTTCCCTTGTGTTTCATGACTGTGATCTCCTTTTTGATCTCTCCCTGTTGTTGGCTTCACTGTGCTTTTGTCTGTGTTTTCCATTATCACTGTTACTTTTATCCCGTCTTTACCTCCCCTGTTTTCCTCTGAAATGTTTCCTCATCTTTTCATGTATCACTAAACCATCTCGTCTTCCCTCCCAGTTGCGGTGGGCGGGAAAACCTCCAAACCGCCCCCCACGACTTCCTTAGTCTCCTCCCTTAGCCTGACCTAAGACACACACGCCCCGCCCCTCCCGACCCGGAAACACACACGCGCGCTTGGAGCGCGCCCCGCCCCCTCGGGGAAGAGCGACTTCCGGGGACGCGCCTCCCCATTCATTTCCGCCCTTCTCCTGCGTCTCCGCTTGCGCCATTTCCGCCAGCCTGGAGTGTCTCCGCCCTTCCCGCCTCCCTTCCTCTGAGCGTCTTAAACACAGGCCTCGGGCCTACAGCTCAGGGGGTACTTAGGGGGGCGGGGGGCTGGTCTGATGAGTAACCCCTCCCCCCAGGTCCCAGAGGGAGAAGCCTCTACGTCTGTCTGCCGGGTACATTCTATTCAATTTCTAGTTCATTTTTTGCAATTATCTGTGACTTTTTAAAATTCAAAATTTCTGCTGATAAACATTCCCCCCATCAGTCTCTATTCGTCTTTTTCAAAGTCCTTTAGTAAAAATTAAATTTACTTGGGCTAAGGAGCCTCAAAGCAATTATTTCTCATTTTCTCAAATTTTACATTAAAATATTAAATCAGTGACCCCAGCCCCTCCCCCCAATTTTTTTTCCAAACTTATTATTTTATAAGGGATGAGGGTTAGGACAGGCCTCTCTGCTGAAGAAGTAAGAAGAAACAGGGAACTGAAGGAAGGAACCAGAAGGACTGTCAGAGGAGGAGGGTGGGGACCAGCCAAGGCTGGGGTCCTGACTGCTGCCTTTTTTTCCTTCCTCAGCCCAAGAGTTCCATGGCCTCTGCTTCCCGCCGCCAACGCCGAGAGCGTCGCTTCCGTCGTTACCTGTCTGCAGGACGGCTGGTCCGGGCCCAGGCCCTCCTTCAGCGACACCCAGGCCTTGATGTAGATGCTGGGCAGCCCCCACCACTGCACCGGGCCTGTGCCCGCCACGATGCCCCTGCCCTGTGCCTGCTTCTTCGGCTTGGGGCTGACCCTGCCCACCAGGACCGCCATGGGGACACTGCGCTTCATGCTGCTGCCCGCCAGGGCCCTGATGGTGAGTCTGCCTAGTGGGGAAAAAGGTTATAAGCAACTGACCGGATCTAAGGCGAGGCCAACAAACATAAAAGTAGGTAGTTATTTGGTGATCGGGCTTGGGAAGGTAGTGGACCAAGTTGGCATGTGGCTGTAGTTTATGTGTTTACATTACTGAACTCCCATTGTCTGAACAGCCTTAAACTCCCAAAACAATTGGTCTTCAAGTTTCACGTCTTACTAGAAGTTGCTACTTTGTCTCTTCGCTAGTGGTTTGTCAATAGCACGAAAAGTAGGATAGAGAGCTATAGGCTCTGGAGTTCAATTGCCTGCGCTCAGATCTCAGCTTCACACTTAATAGCAGCATATTCTTGGGCAAGTTACTCAACTTCCCTTAGGCTCAGTTTGTACATTTGAAAAATTAAATAACAGGGCCTCCCCGGTGGCGCAGCGTTTGAGCGCTGGGTTGCGAAGCTGCCGGCAGCCTCTGCAGCGCCAGTTCGATCCCCGGCTACTCCCCGGCCACCGGAGGAGTGTCCCACATGGCGCCCAGACCCCTCCTGTGGCCCGCTGCTCCCCTCAGCAGTGTACCTCAGTCTGCCTGCTCTGCTCCCCGCTCTTGCTTTGGTGAATTCTCTCACCCTGCCACGCTTCTGACTGTTGCCAGTGCTTGTATAAATAAATAACAATAAATCTTTAAAAAAAAAAAAAGAAAAATTAAATAACAAACTTTGCTATATGCCAGGCACTTCTCACAAAATCCTCCCAACAGCCCTGTGAAATTCTGAGTACTGTTATTATCCCCCATTTCCCAGATGCAAAAACAGTACAGAAGTAATCTGCCACATTGACACAGGGATAGTAGCCCCAGCAGCCTAGCCAGGGCGTGTCTGTGCTCTTTAACAACAGCATTATCCTGTGTGATGTTACAAACTTCTGCCGGGATAGAGCCCGGCTTCGGAGCACCCATGCTGAGACATGTTTTGAGAATCAACTGTCAGAGTATGTAATTAGAGCCCCTGGCACACGATAAGCACTTGGTAAATACTGGCCACCATTGCTCCTGTTGCTATCAACAAACCCAGACTCCTTTACCCATGATTCTGAAACTCAAAAACACTAAGAACTAAATATTTCTCATCAGTCTGCCACCAAGCTCATTTAGTGACAAAACCTAGCCTGAGCTAAAGTAAGGCTTTAAAGTGAGGATCAAAACAAAACAAAAAAAATTTGTTTTTATCCTAGTGATGTCCATAGTCACTGTGCCTCAGAAAATTTCACATGTTGGTTGCTGGGGTGGCCCAAGTCCTCCTGGGTACATAGTAGTATACAGCATAAATGCTTTCAGATCAGGTCTATCAAATCCCCAAACCATCTGAGTGCTGAAAAACTTTGGATGCTGAGGGTTTCAGATGAGGATGTGTGGGTCCTGTAGCAGCAATAGAGGCAGCTCTGCATATGTAGGCCCACCTCAGTCAACAAAAGGTGAGTGAGGACATTATCGGAAATCCTCTAGTTTTAGAATGAACCAAAATGAACTCAATTTGATGGCTGTCACCATCTCTCCAGCTCTCCAAGTATATGAGGAACCACTTCTCACCTCCAAAACTTCCTCATATAGTCAAAAATTTCCTTTTTTTCCAGTTCCCCTTAACGTAGTGAGATAAGCTGGCATATTTGGATTTTTTTTTTTTTAACTTAGAAACAGAAAGAGGCGGTTTCCAGAGTGTAGGCATCTAAACAGCTGATGGAGCATGAGGGCATAGCACTCTGAGGTGACCTCAGACCACATCCACAGCCCAGCTTTCCTCTTAGGAACTGTGTGACAGGGAGCTTAATTTGCCTCTCAAACACGGAAGTTCTGAGCATAGACCAGGAAAGAGCTAGTTGCAGTTGGTGCATCACCAGATAATAAGTATTATTATTTTGACTCTTGTTTTATTCAGTTAAGACTTTTTGATTTCTTTTGTCTTTTGTTTTTCTACAGTCAGTTTTTTTGAAAACAAGAAAGCCTCAGTATGATAGGAGACTCTCCATTGTGTTGAATTCTAAGAAGCATGTGAGGTTGATATTATACGATTTCCAGACCTGGAAAACAGGGCCCAAAAGGGTCAGAACTTGTTTGAAATCTCACAGCTGACAGGTCATTAATGACAAAACCTAGAGGGGGACCTGAGGGGGACTGGCTCCCAAGCCCTGGTGTCCTCCTAGGCCTTACTTCCTCCTTGTCCCCATCCCCCAACCCTGCCACCAGGGGGCCTTCTGTCTCCTTGGTAAAAAGACCTACTTCATTCAGCTTGTAACTGCTTTAGAAATCACTATGCATTAAAATGCTAATGTATTTGAACACATGAGATGGCCCAGAATCTTCCAGTGACTTCCTCTTCAGTTCCCATGTCAGATTGGAGGGATAAGCCAGTTCATGCTGGATTGGCTGGATTGGTTTGTCAAACCCAATAAGGTACCTGTGAATGGCTCCCTACCTTTGTGGCTTTTGGTAAATTCTTTTGGGGGACCCATCACCTAGAGGGATGATCTTAGCTGTCAGAGACCCCTGCATAAACACACTCTAGTCATACAGCAAGAATTTATAATGTTAAGAAACAGGTCATTTTTTTCAGTCTTTGCAAAAAGAATAAAGTCCAAAGCCAGCCTGTTGTGTTTTTTTGTTGTTATTTTTAATGTAACATTCTCTGCATTTCTGCTCTTTGCCAGCACAGCACCCGACATTTTCCGCCCATTACCCACTTTGATCTGCACCGTAGAAGTAGGCCAGGGCCCTATTTTACAGATAGCTGAGCCATCCGGTGTATGTTCCATTTGCCTTTCCAGCCTTGCCTCCCACGGCACACCCACAAAGCCGCAGCTCCAGCTACGTATCTCTCTCTTTATTGACCCCACGCATGTTTTCACAAGCCTGTCTGTCTTTTGCTGTTGCCTTCCTGTTCACTGGATTTCCACTTTGCTAAATTATCCTCCTTCCCAGCCCAACATAAGCCATGCCTCCTCCTTGAAGCCCTCACCAACCTCCCCACCCACTGTTACCATTTCTTGCCTCAGTCAGTTGTCACTCAGTAAAAGCTTCTGATATTGGCTTTTTTTTTTTAATGTGTTCACCAGTTAAGTATGAACATCCATCCCTTTAGGTAGAAATTGCCTAATTTTGGGAGGGGAAGAGCGTGCTTCTATCACTAAAACAAAGTTCTTGTTACTGCACAAAATTTTTTTTCATATTTATCTGTCCTGATGTGAAAGTAAAATGTGTTAATGAAAGAACATTGGAAAAGTTGATCTCTCCTGCCAAATGGATGATAAAGTTGCCATCACAAATCACTGGTTGGGGAGTGAACTGTTTAATAAATGATTAATGATATTTGGGTCATCTGGGGAAAAATTGAGTCCTGACTCAAAAGGTTAAGTTATAGCTGACTAAACAGACTAAACACCTAAATATGACAGAAAACATACTCACCAAAGTCATGGCAGGGTTTTCCCTTGGGGGCATGGCAATGTCAAATGTTTAGCTTAATCTATGATGGATTTATTCCTTTAAAATAATTTGCAAAAATTTCCATAAATCAGTAACCCCTGTGGTAGGAACAGGAATGCTTATTGTACTATGTACTTTCTTGAATTTTTTTTCTTTTTTTTAAAGATTTATTTATTTATGCATACAAGAACTGGGGTACAGGTCAAAGGTATGGGGGGGTGAGAGGATTCACCAGAGACAGAGTGGGAAACAGAACAGGCAGATTAACTGAAATACACTGCTGAAGGGAGCAACAGGTGAGTCAGGAGAAGTCTGCTGGGCCATGTGGGTCACCTCCCTGGCCGGCGATTGAACTCGTGCTGCAGTGGCTGCAGACAGCTTCATAGTGCTGTTTTAACCTCTTGAGCCACCAGGGAGGCCCCAATTTATTTTATTTCTAAAAAGGAAAATCTAGTAGCAAAAGAACACAAGAGAAATGTTTTTACAATCTTTGACAGAAGAAAACTTTCTAAGAATTAGAAATTAAGTCAAAAGCT